GAGACACACAGTGGTGGTGCGTTGTCTGACCGAACTTTCAGCAACCTTAGGAGTAGTGCATTACAAACTATTAGCCTTCTTAATCAGTTGCTTGGTTTAACCAATGAGCTCAATTTGCCAAGAAATTTGACTGTTTTAGGGCAATTAAGTACAGTAGGTGCCTGAACAGCTGCAAACCTATGAAGCCTGGATTTGGAAAGGCTTTTTGGAGTCAAAGTGTGACCAGTTATTTTGCGGTCACTGGGGCTTTTCAGTGCGTGCCGCTTTAGTTAGCAACGCGCCCGGGTTTGGTACTCACCAGATCCTTGTGTAAGGAACAATGACAACAACAACAACAACAATAATGAACAACAACACCAGCGAACAATAGAAAGACGAATTTCCTGAGTGACATATCAACAAAACCAAAAACACTGCATAGCCCATCGCAAATGTGGCGCATTTCGATACTCTTATGATGCAGTTTTGCATCACCCATCTTTGAACCAATTTCGATGTCACATATACTCACAATTTCTGAGTGTACCTCGCATGTAAAGCCACTCATCTTTCCACCAAGAATGGTACATAAGTAGACAGAACAGAACGACCTTTGGCCAATGTGTTATCTGTGTCACCGCAAACTAAACTCAGAATTTAATGAAATATCCCTGACCAACTGACGCGAAGAAGTAGCAAGAGGTTAGTTGCAAATCAATAAAAAAAATTCAGTTTTTCTAGAGACGAGAAGCAATAATTGTTCCTGTGGAGTCGATGTGTACACAGAAAACACTCTTCAAAAATAATATCTCCTGGACAGGCATTTCTTTGTGTCACGGGCACTAAGAGAAAGGGGATCACATCTGGTTTGTGTTATCGTGTTTCGGTATGTTTCGTTACTTTTTCAATTCGCGTAATCTCCAGGGTTCTCTCAAAGTCACGCCTACGTAGTCAGAAATAAAGCTCGGTTTTTCTAATGCTGATGGGCTGAAAATTACATGTGAACATGGCCGGGGCAGCTTCTGAGGTCTTCTAGGGCGAATCCACTGGGTGATTCCTCCCATATCCACGCGTGTATCACCGCCCGATTACATACCCATGAGGTGCATAGACAAACTAAGTGCACAAAATTTCAAGTCTGTAACTCACACGCAGAATTCGTTGATTTGTATAAAATAGAAACAAAAAACCATAAAAATTGTAAAACTACGGAGTTTTCCTGCGGTTATGGTGAACAATCTATGACTGAGTACTTCTTCCAGTGAATTTTGCGTTATAAATCGGGCACTACCGTAAGCCCTATTTAGTTGGCTCGTTTTCATGAGTAAAGTCGCTCTCTTGACACGAGTACTTACGAAATATTCTAAGGCTGATAGAGTTGTTCTCACGGTTTTGTTTTCAGGGCAACAAGTAGTGTTTACGGAAATTTGTACGATTATAAAAGCTCCTCTTGTCCATTTGTGTTAGCGTTACGAGGTTTCACTGTTGTACTTTCGACTATAATGCTTCCAGAATAAAAGCTAGCTTCTCAGGAACTTTTCTAAAGGCATGACATTATTTGATCTTTGAATCCTGCTATTTTTTCTTGGGTTGCAATTGGAAAGTGGTACACTCAGTAGGAAATAGCACACCCCATCAAGTTGAAAATGCGGCCAAGGCTGTGATAGCCGCTCAGTGAAAGTGTCTGACAGCTGCGTTCAACTTTCATGTATATATTGTCTGAAAATCACTTTCCCATATTGGATTTTCAAGGCAATCCAAGGCCAGTTGGACAGCATCACAACTATGATTGAGTAGTTTATTTCGTTTTCATTCAAATTAAAAAGTGTAATCACCCACACATTTGTCGGCTCCTGTCCTAAGCAGCGTTTCGCCTCGAGAGTTTAATTACAATGTGATTAGGAAACTGCTTTAATTGTCCTGTCAATGTCGAAATCTAAAAAATATAATATTAGACCGTTCAGTACTGGTGTGAAGTGTGCAGCCATCATACAACCGACAAAACAAATGAGAGTAGAGAGATTATTAGGCCACCTAGACTCAGGTAACTGTGGCTCAAGAAAGCTCCTGATTCTTAATGCCAATATGTTCTAATGTGTGGCAGTTGTCTTACCTGTAGTTCTCGTGGCTCTAGAGGAATTTCACGATACCAGCAATAGTCACTCGAATTATTCAGGTCAGACCGCCTATGTATCTTCTTATCTAGTTTCCAGATGTGCAAACTATCCTTTTCTTGGTGATTGAACCATTTTATTATATGAAATTATCTTTTATGTCTTCAATCGGGTGACATAAAACTCACTACATACAGAATTTTTGCGCGCCTATATTCGTCTCCATCATTAGAACAGCCTTGATGTTCTTAATGATTGGAAAACGGTTGTGTGGAGTCGCAGAGAGTGGAGTCACTCTTTTACCATACCAAGCGATCATCAGACGAGGTGAGTTGATTTCAGCCAATTACCCACGTTCATCCTTCTAGTTAAAGCTTGTTTTGAATAAGCAGGACCATTATCAATTTACGTAACCAGATGAGAGGACGTAAGGCGACCGAACGCTATTCCAACCAGAATATAGGAAGATTCTATATGTGGAAAATTCCTCGTTTCAAAATCTGTTACCGTTTGGGCATAATTCGCAGCATAGTTACACTAGGGTTGAGAATATTTGGAAGCAGACCCTAGTTGGAAGGGGCTGTGTACACCAAAATAAATCTTGAAACAATGCAGCGACTTTGCTCTTGGAGGTTGTTCGTCCATTTCAGAAAGTCAGTGACCAATCTGTCCAGTCTGGTTCCATACCGTCCGCTTGGCACAACTATTGCTCACTTGAAATGACAGCTAGCACCAAAATTTACAGTCGGAAAACATAAAGAAACCAGTTTGTGTAGCGCACTTTGTGACAAGAGTCTTTGGGCTGTTTACAAATGTTCAGGAGTTTTCATTTCATTTATCCGCATAGGTCTGAGCCAACCGGCCCAAAACGGTCGCAAAGAGTTTATCCAACCATAAACCTCTTACGCAAAGCTTCTTCTGGAGTACTTTTCCGTTGTAAACGGGTAAGCAAAGCTATATATTCAAGGCTTATGACAAGCAAGCGGGTTCGTAATATTTTGTCCAACGTCACTGTTTAAATTCTGTTCTTTCGATTCAAAGTCTCCTAATTTTCACGCACATTTTATGGTTCAACCATTTTACCGGAAAACTTCCCGTTTTTCAACAGGTCGTAGTTGAGAGAATTCAGTGTTTTTCAAAACACCACATACAAGGCAATTTGTTTTCATTGCCCTTCATTGCTGTTATGCTTTACTCACAGGAGGTCCGTATCATGAAGTGGTGTTACATGGGATTGCCGAACTGCATTTCGTCAGCAGTTGACTGTTTCGGCCATTGCTTGGTGAAAGATGCACCTCCCTAAGAGAGCAGTCTATCAGAAATGACAAGGCAGTATTGTAGAAGGCATTTTGGTGTTGACAAGAAAAGAATGGTTTTCCCAACTCTCTAGAAAATTCGAAAAGTTTAAGGTTATACTGATGTTCTATACTGTAACATTTTCCGTCAAGTTAGTATTGTCACAACTGGTAGGTAGAGATGTTGCGAACATGCGTA